GTTTGGCCGGAGAATGCTCAGCACGCGAATCGCTTCAGTTATAGATACCGAGCTCACACTCCCGCGAAACACGCACCCAACTATCCAACAACTATGGAACGGAATAGAAGAGGAACAAATTGGATAATGTCTATAAAAACTAATTGAATTCTAAGCGCTGAGCACGCCATTGAGCCACAGCTGTGAGAAAGTAATGAAAGCACCAGCGGACCAATGAAATAAATACAAAGCGAGTAACAAAACCTGAAAAAGAAACCCAGTGCTCGGAGGTCTGAAGTGATGACATGCAAGCTGCTGGATAGATATATCTACGAGCTGATGGCGAGTGTGTGTGGGCAGAAGATAGAATTTGTGGTAGGGCCGGGGGAAAAACAATTTCACACACAAATCGTACAAAGAGAAAAATTACTCAAAACACTCTAAGATGTTCGCATGTCATGGCACCCAAAAAAGAAAAAACTGAAAAAACACAGAACAAAAAGCTCATTACTCATATGCCAATCAAAAGGGTGAGGAGGGGGGTAACCGGACCCCAAACAAGCCGCAGATATTCCGATGCTCGAACTGGACTGAACTGCCATAATTAATCATCCGCCGATAATTAACAGCGCAGTACGTCCAAATAGAACATCGCGCTAATGCCAATGCTAATGCCAATGGCCAATGCCCAATGTATCCGCCAGATACACTTCAATCTCAGGAAAAAGTGCGCACGCATGCGGGGAGCTCTGAGTTCAAAGGTTGCCAAAACTGTTGTTTCATTTTCGTCCAACTTTAATGAGTTTGTAATGAAGCTGCGCACCGCTTCGCCCTATTTTTGTGCAGCGTAACCACTTGAAAACGAGTCAAATAGATGGACACCGGGCAGATACGAATCCAAGGCTCCACCCCCTCCCCGCTGCTGTCAGTTCCATAAGCAACCTTCGGCTTGAGTGATGTACTACGATGGCCACAAAACATCGACATCCCATCGCATCGCATCGCCATCGATGGTCATTAGCAAAAGATGACGACGACTGTGATGTTGATGGCGCTCCGCTGATGTTGCGTACTCGTAATTCTTCTATAATGGATCTGTTATCTCTGCGCTTAATGGGTTACGTCTCTTGCCGCTGGGGCGCGGTGCCCGGGGGCAAGCTTCGGCGCGGAGCGGGTTGGAGTGACTGACAGAGTGGAAGCCTGCTTAAAACTTGAAATTAAATAATTAGTCGCTGGCTAAGTTTGCCGTATTCCCTAGTTTTGTTGTTCTGCGTATTTAGATGGGGCCAGGGTAATGACCTTTTAAGTACTTTAAGATACTAATCGCTTCTTGGTTTTTGTTGGCTGCTCTAAACAGCTAATGGCTTGTTGTGGCTTGTTTGTTGTAGTTCACTCCGCCAGCGAGTGCAACAAAGTCGCCAGCCACTTTGGATGGCACTAATTAACGTCGGAGGAAGCTTTTGGCTTTGGGCCCCTTCGGCCTTGGCCAGGCGGCAGCGGCGTTGAAACCATTTTCACAAAACTTTTCTCAGATGCGTATTAATTAAAATTTTGATAAGACTCCCGCTCCTCGGGGCGCGTGTAATAAAAGTTGAAAATAAATTACACGAAATTAGTATTTCTCTTTAGGTGTGGCATCATCATCATCATCGTCGCTTTTTCGGCGGCAGCGGCAAAGGGCTTATCGCAAAAGTATCTACAAAATAATGGGCGACTAATAGGCCGGTGCCCCATCCCCAGATCCACTTCTTGGCTTGTTGATTATGTCAGCTTTTAAAGCGGATTCGCCGAGGCCATTTAGTGCCTGTCTCCGTCTACGTCTCCGTCTCGGGTTGAGTTGACTCGACTTGACTTAACTTGGCCCGACTTCGCCTGCTTCTGCGGGTGAAAGTGAGCAAAGTTTCTGCTCGCAGGGGAGCTCCGAGAACGGACTTATAGAGTTACACTTGTTGTCGTCGCCGGCGCTGTGGGAATGTCAACTTCAGATGCTGGTCAACTGGCCAATAAATGATGATAGTTCTGGGTGAAATCCGAGCCATGCTGCTGGGAAAATCAGGCGAGAGAGAGAGAGAGCTCGGGGAAACTTATCAAATATTTGTCCCACTTGAGTGATATCCCAATAAAGCTGCTTGAGGGCGGTTGGTAAGACTTTGGAATGTTTGAAATGACGGATAGATGCGTATTTATCTGTGAGATACATTTCAAATTTTCTTAAAGCCGTTTGACATTTAGGAAACAGATGTTTGATCGGATTGCTTTCTTACTGCGTTTCTTGCATTCCAAAAGCACTTATTTCTGGTATGCGTAAATTTAAGATATTTTTTATGAGTGTTCAATTTGTTAGTACTTTAAAATCAAAAATATTTATTTATTGAAGAGCCACTTTCACTGAAGAAAAGTTCTTACTTAATAATTATATTTTGCTCTACATTGCTTACCAACCTCTTATAAACGATTTAATAAAATCTTTAGGTAGCTCATTCTCAATTAAAATATGTTTGCGCTTAATAATTAGCTTTCAAAGATTTTTTAATCTTAACGGTTTTCTCACAAGCCTTTCCCAACTCGAAAATAAACGACTTCAGATTGCTGTCTGGCCCGTGAAATAATCATAATCATGGTAGAATTTATAAACCATGCCAGCAAAAAGCATTCCAAGTATGCCAAGGCATATGGCACTTGCCCAAAAAACCGAGCTAAAGAAAACCCAAATTGAATGCGAAAATTCCCACACATTGTTCAATCTAATGAGAACTATGTCAGTGGCTGCTGCTTTATCGCTTATCCCCCTGCGCCCCTTCCCACAGAGCAATACTTAAGCTTATGCTTATATATTTGCCCTTGGGCTGACACTTAAGATAAAAACTCTTGACAGAGACCCTCTCGTCGTTGGCTTGCCTGCAGGCTTTAGGCTCCGGTTTCTGTCCCTTCTGACTCCGCTTAAAGTCAATTGAACAAATTCTAGAAGCAAATATTTTATGGTCAATGTTCTTCTCTCACTCTCCCGATGTGTGTTGAATTTTAAATGAAAATTCCATAAATGCCAGCAACATAAAAATGTTCTAGGCCGTCCATATTTCACCCCCTGCCTCGCAAACGCTATCTGTTCTGTGCAAAAGTCGTTTTGACAATTTAATAGTATTCCAAAAATTAGCCAATTAGCTGCTTTGCTTTCCATAAATATTTTCATATCTGAAATATGCATAATTGCATAATTTGTTTCAATTAGCAGGCTGGGCACTAGACACTTGTAATTGAGAACTTATAGGCGATAAGCTTTCCTGAACTAAGGGGCGGCAAGGAAATGGGTCCGAAAACCCTCAGCCCGAGGGAAGTGTAAACAGGTCCTGGTCCTTTGACATTGCTTTGACGCTGTCTCCTTCCTTCCGCCGGCACCTATGGCACTTAATTAATATATTAAATCGGCATTTATATTTCAGCTCTAATTAACCTTTGAACCTCTCCACAAATCAGCGCCCATACAAAAAGTCAAAGCAAAGCTCGCCCCCTACTCCGAAAAACCCACAGGGGCTGTTGGTGGCGAGGTGACAGTCACGAGTCCCATTATACGATATTGTATGTACAATTTGAAGCAACTCGCAATTACCAACGACACGTCAAGATGTGAAATTAACACCGTCACACAAGCAGACAGACTGCCGGGCAGCGGGGCGGGGCAGGTCGGGGGCGGTAGACAGACATATTAATGTATCTGGCTGGTATTTAACATTCAACAACAATAACAATCACTATGTGTGTGGGTGACATTTTCGTTGGCTGCCTCGAAAATCATTAAATCACACAGCAAGAACGAGGCAGGAAAAAAGCTTTCTCTGTTTGTGTCAGCCGTACAATTGGCCTCCCATCCCGCTACCACCCACCGCCCACCGCCCACTGCTACCCCACGCATATCCTGTCAGGCCAGGAGTGAAAAAAAGAAAAAAGGAAAAGAAAATGCGAAGAGCTACGCAACCACAGCACGCAATACTCGCATTTCATTAGACACTTTGCAGTGACGACTCCTATTACTCTTCCTGAAGAGTCCCCATTGAAATGGGCCAGAGGTGCTACCACTTCCTTTTTTCCCAGAGCCTTGGCCAAATGACGTCGTCCGCTCCGACTTTTCCAAATAAAAACGAAAAATTAGCGTTTTATTGGCTGGCAAGGTCAAAGGCTGGCAGTTGGTGGTCCGATGGTGGCTGTCACACGAATTGAAATGGAATGGTTGATCGATCCCACTAATTCCCACAATCTGATGGGTGAAATGTAGTTCAAGCTAAGGCAGAAGGTGACCGCGAACCGCACGAAATGTGAGCTTAATAAGCTGCACGAAGCCAGATGCCATAATTTAAGATAATGTTTCGTTATTTCCTAATTGAAAAGGACAAATCAGTTGGGCCCTCGATTTGCTTAAGCACGTCCTAAAGAAGTGACATAATTCGGCAATAAATATCTGGCAATAGCTCGCAGGCGGCAGATTAAGTGATATAATCAAGTAACAACGACAAAACCAACTATTCCATTAGCTAACCGGGACAGTGCGGCAGAAGTGCAAATAAAAACTTTTCTGTCCAACGCCGCAAATGAGTTTGTCATTATTCAAGCGCCGGGCAAACTGTCCGCATGTATACATATTTCGCGCACCTTTTTTGTGCGGCTTTGTTTTTGCCACAAATTAATTACAATCCAAGTTGAGTGGCAAAATGTTTTTCTTGTGTATTTTTCATCCAACATATTTATCAACACAGACGCAGCGCAAAATGTTTGCCCTGGGAACGAGACTTTGCGAGAATAAATTGGATGATGTTAGGGCGACAACTTTTCATTTAGTTGGCCGGCCAGGGCTGCCCTTAATTTCCGGCCACACGCATTGGAAAAATGAAAACGTTAGTCGGGAATGAAAAATCGTTAGGCGCGCAGACTCCCCCTCCCAAGTGCGCCACAGTGGTCCCACAGAAACTTTCTTTGCTTCTCCCTCTTCACTTTCATTGTGCTGGGTTTTTATTTTGCGCTTCACTTACCTGAAAATAGGTTTGACCCTTGTCCACCCAGCCGATGGCCATATCGGCACCAGCCAGATTGCCATCGGGCGAGAATCCGAAGCCGACGTAGCCCAGGGTACGTGCCTGTATTTCAAATGTTATATCCTGATTAATGATTTGCCATAGTATGCGAAAATCCTCATTCAAATCGATGGCATGATCCCAAATGGGTGTTCCTGTCGCTGCCGCCGCCGCCGCCGAAGTTGCTGCTGTTCCGGCTCCCGATGTTGCCGACGAGCCCGACGTTTTGTTGCTGCGAGTGGCCAGCTTGCCGGCAGCCCGGGCTCCGCTGGCCAAAAGGAGGAGCAGCCAGAACAAGCTGAACGTGTGGCAGGATATAAAACATGTGATTAACGATGACCGCCTTGAACTTGAGTGCGTTGCTGTTGCTGTTGCCGAGGGTCGTCTGCTCTGCCGCAATGTTGCTGCCGCGCTGGGTGTTGCTGGTGTGGCAGCGAGTGCTGCTGCCGTCGTAACTGCTTTCCTTGGGTGAGCCATTTTGTGCGCTGGTTTGCTGGGTGCTTGGGTTTAGCAAATAGTTGTGATTACTTTTCTTGTTGCCACGTTGACATTTATTGCGCGCAAAATCACTGGACGATGGCTCGTAATTACGCAACTGTTTCGGACCTTGTGATCTGCTCTGCTCCGGGAGCGGGTGCTCTGCTTTCTTTGGTGTTATCACAGTTACGATTATTTACTTAAGCAATTTTACTTTCGTGGCTGCTTCCTGTTTCCGATTTGCTGCTCATTAGTTTCGCTTGTCACACGAACAAAGCTGCGGATGAACAAAGCTGAAGCACGGCCCGATCTGGCGGATGCAACCTGAAAGTTGGTAGGAAAAGGAAAAAATGTTACATAATTGCTATAATTTGTTGTCGGCTATAATAGTTGAAAGAACTCGATTCCTGCCCTCCGTCTTCTTTCGTGCTGCAATGTTTAAACGCATATAATTACATAAATTATGAACCGGTATCTATGAGATACACATCCCCACTCTGCCACTCAGCCACACAGACATCCATCCATCCATCCACACATCACAACAAAGTTGACGGTTCATTTTTGTTGCCGTTGTTGTTGTCGAGAGTTCGTCAACATTTTCCTTGAAGCGTTAATTAGCCTGGTCACGCAGTTTTCACAGCAATGTACGTCGGAAGACGAAATTGCTTGGAGTACTTGGGTAAGCAGGAAAATTAAAGTCGGGGGAAAAGAGAACTGACATCCCAGTGACAGAAAGAGGGCCAAAATCTTCCGAAGCAGAGCTTACTCTCATTCAAATACAGCACAGGGAAAATGCAAGGATAAACCCTTGTGCAGATAAATGCTACCACTACTGCCAAAATCTTTCCCATGCCTTCACTCAACCGTGCCAGTGAGTCAGACGATCCCCTCCGACCTCCGGCCCTTATCTTTCAGTATTTGAATGACTAATTCCGGCTTTCCCCTCTCGGATATCAAGAGTCTACTGTCTCGCACGCAATTAGTGCGTTGTGGCTCGGTCAAAGCAAATCGAAGATAATTACAGCTTGTCATAATTTTAATGAAGAAGGTCGCCAAGAACCGAACCCGAGTCAAGTCGCTGCCCGTCCGCTTGTGGGGGAGCCAAGTGGGGGCGTGGCCAGCCGGGCAGTGGGACCAGCCCAGGTCGGGCAGAGGGATTCATTGTATTAAATCGCCGCTGCTCAGCCAGACGAACCGCAAGCGCATTGACGACGTCTAGTCCGTCCGTATCCCTCGGTTCGTCCGACTCCGGGTCTCCTTCCTCCGTTGCCATCGCAGCTGTCTGCGCATATTTGGTGTGCGGTTACATTTGATTACATGCCAAAAGTGTTCGCCCAGCCGCCCCCTTCGCCAACACTCCGCACACTAATCTTTAATTTGACGTCGGCGTTTTGGGTAAATGTCAAATGGTTGGTAATTTGTTATAAATAGCCAACTTCCGCTGGCTCGACACAACTCACAGATAGATACCTCCTGGCTCTGTGTGAGTGCGTACTGCGGGAGACTGAAATGTATTTGCGCTAATTCCAAGTGCTTAGTCGCGTGTTCAAAGTTGACAAAGGTCAACAAACGCCAGGCCAACAGAGAAAATTGAAAAGCCCAAAACGGAAAATGAATTAAGAGGAAGGTATTCTGTTGCAAAAGCGAAGGTTGAATGCCCTTATTCGCACAGATAGTGTATTACTTTGTTCATATGCCACGATATTCCCTTAGGAAAATTGAATATATTACCAGAATGTGCTCCGCCATAACAATCTCTTCCTAATGTTGACCAATAAAAGTAATTTTAGGAAGTTCCTGCCATTGGACAAATGTGTATCAAAGATACTACCGCAATATCTAGAAGATTTCTATGGCATATTTATAGGTGACTTTTATGTTTTACTTCCTTCCCTACGACAACGTTATTGTGCTTGCCTTCCCCGCTGCTGTTATCAAAAATGTATCCGAAAGATACACAACAATGAGCTTGATGGGGCAATGTAGCTTTACATGGCTCCTCCAGCTCCCAGCTCCATGGCCGTTGTTGTTGTGGATGGCGCTGAGTGACGGCCGGCAACGTTAAATGACGTTGATTATAATTATGCGGACTTGTACTTTGTACTACACAGGGCTACAGGGTTCCCCTGTTTTTGCTGTTGCCGTTGCTGTTTGTTATTATTATTATTGCTGTCGTCGTCATCATCATCATCAGAATCATCATCATCGTTCGGCAGAGTCGTTCTGCAGACTTCGACTGTCGTTGATGGGGCGGTCAGATGAATGATGTCTCTTAAATACAGACCGAGCCCAGGCGAGGCCAATCGTCCTCATCATCGTGATTGTTGCTCTTGCCGTCGCTGCTGCCGTAAAATTCAAGCCAATTTAGCCTGGAGGGAGGCAGGTCCGGCAGGTTCCTCCTTTTGCCAGGCTGCACAGCATGTTGCCCAAGACCAAGACGACATTCATAAGTACAAGTGCTCCTCGTCGACTTCCAGCGATGGCAGCGTGAGTTTGGCAGCAGGAATGCGTGTTTCTTGGCCAGGCAGTAAGCCGCGTATCGATCATTTCTGGCTCGCAAGGCTACCATCTCCAGAGGACATTCATAAGCACAAGTGCTTCGCCGGCCGGTCGTATAATATTATTACTTGGCGAATTAACTACGCCAAAAGCAAAACAAACACAAACTCGAAGATTGCTCTGGCAACTGGTTCTAAAAGGCACGAAATGGCTTCCGTAGACACATTAGTCGCTTTTACACAAAAACCCAGACAAAACGGACAGAGCCGGGTCCCCTCGACCCCCCTTTCTCCATCGTCGGCTGATGGGTGAGCAAAAAGATGCAACTGAATGAGGCATATAAAAGCCTTCCCAAGCGCCGCCGCGGCACAGAAAAAAGAACCAACAGAAGCGGAAAGAAAGAAAGAAAGAAAAGAGGAGCGAAAGAAAAGCAAGAAAAAATGAATACAAGTCAAAGACTTTGTCCAATGGTTTTCATCATTGCACGATTTGTAGATGGAGCGGGTAGTTCCACAAGGGAGGCACAGAGGCTGTGGCCCCAGATCTGGTCTGTGGCTGCTTCTGTGCGCCGGCAGACGGACAACGACATTGATGAGGATGTTTTGCTTTGGCCACAGTGGAGCAAGCCCACATGAAAGTGTTCTCAAGGGGTCCAAACGTGCTTGGAAAAGGTCAACTCTAATGTGGAATACTCCGACCTCTTACTTATTTGATTTTCGAGTTGCAGTAGGCACAGCGCTATATGGAACTAATGCTCGTAAATTAAACTATTTGCATGGGACAGTCTGCAGTTTTAATCCATATGGATGGAATCTCGCTTTAGTTAAATAGTAGTTTCCTCTTAACTAAATTAAAATGCAATAGAACTGCCCCAGAACGAACTGCTGCCAAAGACAGATCAATGAACAACGAAGTTGTCCGCTTAAGAGACCTTAAACTAAAGCACTAATTTGTCTACAGTTAACAGCAATATCTTTAGCTGCAAAAGACTAATTAACACCAGACTAAAAGGTAAGCGCACCAATCTATTGTACTCAGCTGTCGATGCTTACAAGAAAATAAATGATTCCGTTAGCTATCACTGCCACACCTACTGGGAAATTCGAGCCAATACAAATTGTTTTCTTGCTGCCGTCATTCTGTGGTATTCCTTTCCCTTAATTGATTCCATTCTAATTACAATATTTAGCCAACTCATTGGCCCAATCACAGAGCATTCTTCCCCTCTGCATTTCACACATCATTAATAACGATGGGTTCTGATTCGTGCGAAACGTTTGTTCCTTTCACCTTCAACCTTCCACTTTCGGATTAATCGAATGCTTTCACATTTTAATATCTCTCACCAAACGGAATTCCAGTTCCTCTCGCACGCTGAAGTGTAATTAGCGATTTTTGGCACATTTCGATACTTTCTAATCGCATCCCAGTGTGCAGTTTGTGGCAATTTCTTTTGCTTAGCCGCTAACCCAGAGGCCGGGGGAACGGAGAAAGGAGGGGCTGTGGGGCAGGCTTCCCGGGTATGTTTTCATTTAGCAGATACAAGCTGCAAGTACACGGCACACACACACGGGATGCTACCGGGCCTTCGTCATCATCGAAGATGCTCCATCATGTGGCAGCAACAACGGCAGCAGTGCAATGCGTTCTCGTGGTTGTTGTCGATTCGAGAGTTCTGCGGTTGCCGCAGCTTGATTATAAATGTACGATGCAACTTGTATGACATGTAAGTTGTTGTACTTGCAGCCGCGCGAGTGTGTGTCTGTGAGAACGTGTATCTGGAGGAGCGTGCATGTGTGGTTGTCACTGCACCTGTCATCCTTGCAGCCTGCCAGCGAAAATTGCCATCCAGTGCGGTGGGGAAAAAATTATTATTTATCATCAACGGGCCAAGGTTCCCGAGACAAGTCAAACTGGGAATTATACGGGTATGCACGTTTATACAGATGCGCTGGGACTCCACTAATTACTGCACATCATTTGCTTACTCGAGAGCCTCTTCTGCCGCTGTTTCCAGGCCCATCTGGCCAACTTCCTCCGCGCGCCGCCTTGCAGATTTAATTGAGTAAAAAAATTGACTAATTAGAGTGAGTCCAAAGCACTTGGCCCCGGGCCACAGAAGCAGCAGAAAAAAACAAGTCTGGGCCGGCCCGAGTTGAGTGGGCTTTTTGGTTAGGGGAGGGGGGTTGAGGGGCTGTACTACCTGTTCTCATTTATTAAGGCCTGGTCAAGAGCGGTTTGAATCAAAACTGCGCCCCGAACCCAAGGCTCCTGTGTCGCCGTCCATCGTGTGTCGTCTTCGTATTTAATGATCATTAAACGAGCTGGCAGCCAATTGCACTAAAAGCTGCAGGCTGCTTCTGCCTTAGTGCCGGTACAGTGGGCCGAGCAGGCGGCCAAAGTGGTGGTAGGACGGGCTCCGGGAGGCTAGCCTAAGCTCGGGGGACTTAGCCCACTGTAAGTGGGCCGCCGGACTGATGAAAACTATTAGTGAAGGCAGCTATGGAGCTGCAAAGTGGCTGCCTTTTGTAAATTGCACCGACATTCCAGCAGCTCCTGCCTCTTCTCCTGGAACGCCGCGTAATTTAAATAATCATAAAAAATAATAATTCGTTCTATTGGATGCCTGGCCGTGCTCAGCGCCCTGCTGCCTGTTGATTATTATGGCCCTGGTAATATCTTTTGCTCGTTAGCAATTTTCGTTTCGAATAAATAGTAATTAGTGTGCCGAAAAGAGTTGAGCCCCCGTCGCCCGTCACCCGTCGTTTTTTATTGGCATTCTCCACCTCTTTTGCTCGATCCACCTGGAAACTATTGCACAA